TAAGCGAAAGCATGCTACTGCTGGCGCTTCCCTTCTTTCTTTTCCACCTTTTTCTCTTACTCCCATCCCGGCCCCCATTACTAACCTTCCTTCTATAATTCCCAGCTTAATTGACAGCAACCGAAGTGCTACTGGAGTAGTACCGTCTGCAGCCACCATCCCACAGCACCTATCGGACGCCTATCGGCAAACGTCCCTTATAAGGCCACGCTGTCCCGTTTCCATGGCGACATTCAACGTCCGCACTCTAAGACAAACAGGTCAGCAGGCTGCACTCGCACGCACCTTGGACACACTGGGTGTTGATGTGTGTTGTGTGTCCGAAACTAGGATTAATGACCCTAACGGGGTTATTGAATTGACTGCACCCGGCTTATCCTCTCGTGATTGGTTGCACGCATCCGGTGACGCCGATGCGGCACTCACGGGTCAAGCTGGTGTAGGTATCATTCTCAGCTCCAAGGCTGAGTCATCGTTGGTTGATTGGATTCCGGTGAACAGCCGTTTATGTGCAGCCCGTTTGACGACATCAGCTAAGGTGAATTCGGGAAGTAAAACAAAACGCTGTTTGTTTGTGATTTCTGCTTATGCTCCCACGGACTGCAGTTCTAATGCAGTCAAGGACACTTTCTATCACGAACTGAACACGCTGCTACGCAGTACTACTAGTTCAGATATTATAGTACTTGCAGGGGAAATGAACGCACAAGTAGGGCGTCTGAGCTCTTCAGAAGCTCAGCTGGGTGGTAAGTATGGACTTAACTCCGAACGGACTGACAACGGCGAGCGTCTGCTGCAACTGTGTGCGGAGCACCAGTTGCTTCTTACTAGCACTGCTTTTAGACACAGTGGGCGCCGAAGTGCCACTTGGCGTCCACCTGGAGCTGGCCAGCGATGGACCCAAATTGACCACATAGCCATAAGTTACAGGTGGCGCGGTTCCATTCTGGATTGCCGCTCGTACTGGAGTACTTGTGTCGACTCTGATCATGCCTTAGTGCGCTGTCGTTTCTCCATGAACTTTGCCGGAAGGCGCACAAAGCGTCTCCCCCGATTGGCAACGGAGAAATTGTCCCAACCCTCTGTCAGGCAAGCCTATCAAGAAGCACTGCATAGCGAACTCTCGCTGTCTTGTCCCAATTACACTGAACTTCAGTGGAATAGAATCTCGGCCACTATGCACGACGCAGGAGCATCTGCTTGTGGCACTATCAGTCGTCACCGCGCCAGTCACTGGATATCCGAGAGGTCGGTGAACTTGTTGGAAGCTAGAAGACACCTCCCGGCTGGTTCTGAACACAATGTGACTAGACGGGCTATTAGGCGTGAACTAAAGCGGAGCCTACGTGCTGACAAGGAAGCCTGGTGGACCAGTCGGGCTCAAGAAATGGAGGAGGCAGGAGCAGTAGGCAAGTAACGCAAGCTCTTCCAGCTAATCCGCACCACTGGTCCGAGGAAACCAGGCGTCAGTGAGACAATCAGGGACAGCGCGGGTGCGCTGATACACAATAAGGAGCGCCGTATGGCTCGTTGGGCTGAGCACTTTGAACATCAGTTCAGCTGGCCCCCTGCTCCCGGACCTCTTCCTACTCAGTTGATGCAGGACGAGCCATGGACGGTTAGTTTAGAGCCTCCGTCGGAGGCCGAGGTCCGAAACGCGATCACAGCTCTCAATCGTTTTCGTGCCGCTGGCCCGGATTCTCTCCCACCTGCACTATTTAAGGATGGAGGTGAGGTCCTCTGCAAAGCACTGACCTCCTTATTCGAACGTATCTGGAACGAAGAGAGTGTTCCGGCTAATTGGAGCGAATCGATTATAGTGGCAATATACAAAAAGGGCAGTCGCACAGACTGTGCGAACCACAAGGGTATTAGCCTAACGCCAGTTGTGACAAAATTACTGGCCTCGATTATCGTTCGTCGCCTCACTGCAGGACAGGAATCTCGGATTAGAGAAGAGCAGGCCGGTTTTCGCCCAGGACGTGGCTGTATAGACCATATATTTACTTTGCGGCAGGTGCTAGAGCAGCGCCACGCATACCGCAGACCGACAGTAGCTGTGTTCCTCGATTTCAAGAGTGCGTTCGATTCAGTCGATCGATCGATTCTGTTCGAGATACTTGCACGGAAATGTGTTCCCACGAAATATGTGAACATCCTTCGTGCTCTATACTCGGACACTAGAGGCCGCGTCAGGTTCTCTGGTGCCCTATCGGAGAGCTTTTCGACTACAAGTGGCGTTCGTCAGGGGTGTCCGATTTCCCCGTTTTTGTTCAATTTCGTCGTGGATTCTATCATGGAGTGTTCCGTTGCGGAACCTCACAATGTAGGTGTTGAAGTGCTGCCTGGTGAACGGTTAGTTGATCTAGATTATGCGGACGATATCGTCTTGCTTTTCGACAATGTTGAGGCGGCACAATCAACCGTGAATAGCCTATCCAGAGTGGTCCCATTATTTGGTATGCACTTCGCACCTTCAAAGTGCAAAGTGTTGCTGCAGGACCACCAGCCACTCGATGACCCCTTGACGCTTGCTAACGAGGAACTCGAAGTGGTTGATCAATTCACTTATCTTGGCAGCTGCATCAGCAATGATGGGCGCGTAGAAACTGACGTGAGCTCACGCATTGCAAAGGCCAGAGCTGCCTTCTTGAACCTGCGTCATCTTTGGCGACAGAAGGGAGTTTCCCTCCGCCTGAAAGGCCGTGTATACAAGGCCACAGTGAGGGCCGTTCTGCTCTATGGTAGTGAGACTTGGCCCCTTCGGTCTGAAGATCTGAGGCGCCTTCAAGTCTTTGATCATCGTTGTTTGCGAAGCATTGCTGGTGTCGGATGGCACCAGCGTGTCCGCAACGATGATGTGCGTAGGCGAGTACTAGGTGGTGATGATCATGCTAGCTCCCTAGAACAACAGATTGCACTGAATAAGTTACGTTGGCTCGGGCACGTGCTACGTATGCCTGGTCACCGCTTACCTAGGAGAGCCTTGTTCAGTCTACCAGGTGTCGGATGGCGCAAGGCTCGAGGTGGACAGAAGTTGACTTGGCAGCGGGAAATGAAGTCACTGACGACCAAACTGGGTGCCGTTGGTCCGTCTTGCCTTCTGGGTTGGAGTCCACGTGACTCACCTTGTGCTTGGCTCGAGACTTTACAGGACATGGCTCGCAACCGACACCAGTGGCGCGTCTGCTGCCGTCTCGTAGTCGGACTGCCTGTTTATAGTGTGTTTGGTGCTGAGTTATCTGCGGGGTAATGGCTGATTATGACGCGGGGCAGTGAAAGCCGCAAGGAAGCTGTCTCGCCGATGCCGCCATATCTTTACACGATAGTCAGCTGATTGTGACGGAATGTTGTCCACACAAGGTGTAGGCGCCTTGACCCTGAATGTTTGCTTAGGGCATTAAGGTTTTCCGGTAAGTCCCCCTTCTCTCCCTCTTCTTATTCTTTATTTCATAGGTCCTCATGGTTGTATGGCATCGAAGCATCAGTTCAAATGGCTGATGTACTGCTGTTGATGGTGATGATGATGCCTACCGGAATAATCTTCTATTAAACTTCCACGTTGCTTACGGTAATTGCGCTCATCTTCGATAACTTTGTTTCGTTTGTAGCATTTTCTGAGTCACTTCTGGACATTTTTTACTTATCGCGTATTCGTTGCTAATCAACTTACTTCATATGCTTATTTAGCGAGGAAGTATATCTGCATAGCCGTATTCTTTAGCAGATATATTTTATTTGTTACTGTTATTTCATGTGACTTGCTGTTGTTTGACTTCCCCGGTGTGGCTGCGCTTGATGTGCATGTTGACAACGTGCCTACCTGTCTATTACCCACTACCTCGTCCATACTGGCTCCAGGAGACAGTTGGTCGTTGCTGGAGGGGACGGGGTGCACTGTTCTTGTGGTCGTACTAGGCTCGAAGAGTGATTCCATGCACTTAGTGTGGAGCGGACTACGGTTCAGCCACCGCCTTGTGTGCGCTTGATTCCCAAATACAGCGTGCTTGTGTTTGCTTGTGAAGGAGTGTGGGCCGGCTCAGTTGATGAAAAGTGGCTCTCATCCGCATGCCTCCCGGTCTTATTCCTTCGGGTTTACACTGGATATGTGGTGTGTGGATGGAACTGGGGGTGGTGCAGCGCAAGCCACCCATGGTCCCTCTGTTGGCGCAGGCGTCCTGTGACTGGCCACAGTGACAGGCAAATCCGAAACCGGATGCCGCCAACCATTTAATCAATGATTGAAGACGTCGACATGGTGCCATCACGCCGTTATAACAGGAAAAAATCCACAAGCCTTAATGACTTGCAGTGTCCGCGACTCGTTGGTATAGGAGCAAAAGCTTCTAGCTGGGGCATCCACGCCCCAGAGTCGAGTAGTAATCCTGTCCCCTTTAGATGATGAGTCGTGGGATGCGGTCTTGGCAGCATGTGACATGTGAGTTTTAACATACAGAACAGGCGGCCAAGTATCCGAGTGATAACCTTCGGTGCGTTGACCGACAATGTCAGGAACACTCGAAGTGCAACTGTGCTTAGCATCTATTAGGTCGTTATATCAGCTGTGTTGTGCTGTCGCTACTAGTACGCATAGTCGAAACAGCCACTCTGGTTACGGTCCGCCATGATACCTGGTCCAAATGATCGAATTTGCAGAGTCTCACTTCTAAGTGAATTACCGTTTTGATTGCGTGTTACTGTCTATTCATACATCGAGCATCTCAAAAAATCTGTACTTTATTGTTTTGTTATCTTACTGTAACCCTGCAGTCCTTTTTGGGTAACATCAAAGCCACTGAGACATCAACTAATGGTATTTTTGGGATTCGCTCCAACTGATCACTCGGATTTCATCTTGCACAATTCAGGTGCAACCTGGAAATCCAATACCAATCAACATTTCGTACTATTGCGAAATTCTTTTCAGTCTGATCTTTGCCTGATTTACCTTTTTCTTGTTCGGAATTTTCATACCCCACTACCTTTTTCCCCCTTCTTAGTTCTGGCTTAAACTGGACCAGAAAATTTTCGATCAGTGCCACAGTGAGTGCATCACATTGTCCTTTTGAAGCGTCCCATGTGGTTTTTGTACCCTTTTTGTCGGACCACTTACTTCCAGGTTCCATGAAATCACTACTGTTGCTTCGTACTTCATTCGTTCAGGATGCATAAATGTTTCCCCTGTTCACAACAGCCGCAGTTTATTTGGATGATCAAGTTGCGGTCACGTATCGAATGATCACCAGGGCATATGATTTCTATGGCCTCCATTACTTTTGTCTTCTTACCTCGACTTTACTATCAATCGGTACATGCCCAGCGTGTCATTACCTGGGCATGGTTCTGTGTTTTCCATTTCCAAATTGTCATACGAAAGGTTTATTTGCTCATATGTCGATTCAATACAGGCCGCGACGGTGCGAAAAATAAGAGAAACATTGGCTTACAGCATCGTTAAAGCACGGTCCGACTTCCGCTACCACTAGGAGAAGGCCCACTTACGACACTCTCTGATTATGATGAACAGAACTTTAACTTTAACTCACAATCTACCGCTTAACAATATCATGACGAACCGGACCATTAACTCGTCATGAGTGAGGTGGATAAGTAGAACGCTAACTGGATTCATCTCAAGTGTGTTTTGAAAAACACTTTTGTCACCTGCTATAAGCCAAAACTGAGACGTCCGAACTGTGATAGGATCTCTGATGCATCGATCAGTTTGCCCCAAACACACGGACTGGTTCCGTTGAGTACGGACTTTCGGTGTGTCCGTAACACCTTGTAACGACGACTGACCAGGCTTCTTCGAATCATCAGGAACGTTGGTGTGTAGCAAGTGCCCGTGAGATGGGGAAAGCCAGTGCTATTGGGAACAGCCGAGTGCTATACCAGCTCATCCGGAACTCGGGTCCGAGAGAAACATCAGTTAGCGAGGTAATAGCTGAGAAAGATGGACAGTTGATCTATTCTCAGTCTCGTTGACTAGCCCGTTGGGCGGAACATTCTGAAGGGTAATTCAGCAGGCCTGTGACAGCACCGCCACTTGGTGAATCGCCTGAGTCTTCGTGGGAACTAGATGTCCCACCTCCCACTTAGGAAGTGATTCGATATGAGGTTTTTGTGCTGTAACGAAACAATGCTTCTAGGCCCGATGACCGTCTTCCATATTTGTCGAAAAATTGTGCTGAATTTTTGTTGTCTGCACCGGCTTTATTTAACACGATTTGGGAAATTGAGGAAGTACCTTCAGATTGGCGTCTGTCGACTGTCGTGCCTATCTTCAAGAGGGCTCAACGCACTGTGCGAAAATCATCGAGGTCTTAGCCTTGTTTCCATTGCCTCCAAGCTTCTCACAGGTATCATTCTCCGACGACTAATTGATCCCAGTAAGAACGGATTCACTGAAAGCCAGGCTGGTTTCCGCCCTGGTCATGGTTGGATCGACCACATATTTACTCTTTGCCAAGTCCTAGAGCAGAGACACACATACAGACGACGGAATATAGTGGTTCTCTTTTACTTTAACCTGCCTTCGACTCTGTTAACCACGCTTGCTTGTGACACTGCCTGTTAGTGGAGTAGCTGGGAAACTCCTTTCCATTCTGAAGTATCCCTACCGTTTCTTCCGAGACCGGGAAGCTGTCTTGTGGTATCCTCACGATAAGTGAGTTGGTGATCAAAATGACCATGACACCGTTCTTTCAGGCTCTTTTGGAATGGAAGAACTTTTGAGTACGCGGATGACGTCTCTGTCCTTGGGTCGAACGCAAAAGCTGTGCAAGCACTACCTACTAGACTAATGCATAGCGCTGTACGCTTCCGCATGTGCTTGGCACGTTCAACATGCATACTACTGGTGCAGGACTGGACTGATACACCAGTGCTTTTAGCATTCAGCGATCAGCCACTGAAAGTTGTGGATCGGTTCACTTTCCTTGGTAGTCGCGTCATCTCTGTTCTTCCCGTTGCTGACGAAGTTACTTTGCGTATCAACAAGGCCTTCGTGACATTTCATATGCTCAATCATCTAGGGAGACGATGGGATATATGTCTTTCAGTGAAATGTGGGGTGTGTGATGTCTCATTAAGGCCGGTGTTGCTGTATTAATCAAAGGCCTGACTGCCTTTGATCGCCGGTGCTTGCGAAGTATTTCACGTCTGGTGGGAACACTGGGTGAGCAATGCTGGGTCCGCTAGTTCGATTTTGGCAAGAAGCCTTACAAAGCCGCACTCGAGTGTTTACTGATACTCATTCAAGAGTTTCAATGAATCACGGGCAATGCTGCTCTTCAGCAAAGCAAAAGAATTCTTTTCGGTAAACTCTCATCGGACCCAAACGTTTACATTACCGTGATTGTCATTTACTCACTGTCATGTACTCACTACCTGAACACTTCTCCTAAGGATTGCGCAAACAGCTCTTATCCATCGCCGAGGCTATCTACATTCACCATCTGAAGCCGGAATTATGTGTACAAAAACGATTCATACGGCCGATACTACTACCTTGACCAACGGACACTGCTACTTAGTTATTTGGCTGTTATCTTACCTACTTACTTTGGGTTACTGAGCTTTGAGTATGCATGTTTATTTAGTTTACTTGGTTTACCATTTCTATCTCTGTCTCAAGTTATCGATTTTGATCATTCAAACACTCCAGAAGTCAATCCCAGTCCGAGTTGACGCTTTCCCCACAATCAGTGTTATGTAAACGTTTGAGTCCGATGAGAGTTTACCGAAAAGAATTCTTCACCCTGAACTGATTTCTGCTATTGATTCATATTAACGTTTACTGATACTCGATCGCTTATGTTGGCTAGGTCATGTCCTTGGCTCACCTGTTGATTTACTTCCTCGGCCTGTAAGATACGCCGTGGCTGCACCAGGTTTGGCGAAACCGCGAGTTGGCCAGTCGATGACGTGGCCTAGAGACATGAATAAATTCACTGAGACTTGGTCAGGGCAGTGCGTGACGTCTGCATGTATGGGGCCCCAGGATGATCTACACCAATGGTTGTAGACCTTATCAGACATAGCGCAGTCAGTTGTGTTTCTGCATTGGTTTCCTTGAACTCATTTATTATTTTACTTCCAATTACGTTTTGTTTGACGCACTTAATCCCTTTATCTTCATGTTTAATTTTCGTTCACCCTCACTTTCGTGGCAACTGGATCCACCGCACTTCGGTTCCCGGACCACAGTTGTTCAACTGATTTGCACTGAACTGCGCATTTTTTGTTGTTCTTCCACAAGCGCTTCTGTAGACCGCGTTACCTTGGAGATGAAGGCAAAGTGTTCATCCGTGTTGTTTTTCAGCCACAACAACGTCACGATTTGTGATGTTTTCTTGGAGCCTTGAACACAGTGCATATTTCTTCCTGAGCTGGCCCAACAATTGGTCATCTTTCTCTACGGCAGTTTTGTTCCACATCTCAGTCCACAGCTCCTCCCTTTTTGGAAGTAAAGCGCACATCGCTCATCATTAAGCTCAGTCTAATGCCTGTAGCTGTTGTCTCGGCGAAGTCCTCTCGAGGTATCAAATCGCACTGCGCTAAAGCGGACGTTAGAAACATTGCTGTACAACCCGTCGATCCTACTCTTCATGCACTGACATCAGCAATACCGCGGCTATTGTTAGTGCTGGGACATCCAAAATTGATTAAGTTTATTTGAGGTTGGGTAGCCACATGCAGAACTTCAACAAATCACGGGCAATGCTGATTTTCAACAAAGCAAATATTCCCACTGTATTCAGATGAATCAAGACCAGAAATCAGTTCAGGGTTAATAATTATTTTTGGTAAACTATCTTCAGAACCAAACGTTTATATAACACTGATTGTGTGGGGTAAGCGTCAAATCGGGCTGGGATTGATTTCTAAGGTGTTTAAACGGTCAAGATCGATGATTAAATGCGGCTACAGATGGCAAGAAAGTGCACCAAAGGAAACTTCATACACAAGCCTCAGCACCCTAAAGTAAATAGGAAAGGTCACGAAGGGAATTAAGTAATCATGTCAGCCGGCCACGGTAGTAATATCGGCCGTATGAATCGTTTATGTACACATAATTCCGGCTTCAGATGGTGGATGTAAATAGCCTCGGTAATAGACAAGATTTGCTTTCAGAAGCCTTGCGAGAAGCGTTCAGGTAGTGAGTAGATGACTTTAGATGACTTCTCAGATGCAGTATGGCCACTTTCGAGGAGGTGCGATATGATTGAACTGTCTGAGGACCTCATTTCGCCTTTGTAAAACCACGCCGGGATGTGCTCGCGAATCCTCTGGGATAGACGTATCGTGCACCACAGGAGCACGAGCACCGATAAACGAGCATTGAACGGGTCAATGATGGCAGATTATCTTTCAAGGGTTTTGTAAGCAATAGCTTGTTATGGTAAACAATTCTTCAGTGGGTTGCGAAATAAGTTTTCTCAACAGCATCTTTCAGACGTCGAGATAAGCTATCAGCTGCAGTATCGCCCTTAAATAGCAAATGTATGAATAGCTCTTTCTTGGAAGCAATCCTCCTAGGTGGCTTTCGCCATTTAAGGGCGTATTCCGGGGACTAAAAACAATGCCAACGCCAGCTTGACCGGTAATTGAAGCTGCATCATCGCCAGACGGGTGCAATGAGAATGTGCCGCTAGTATTGCAAGTGGGGGATCGCAAGGTACACACGGAGCTCGAATCTTGCAGGCGGATTCCTGATAAAGAACACATCGCTCGATTGGTTCTCTAGTGTACGGACTGTCTGTTGGCCAAGCTGTAGCAAAGTGCCCACGTTGAAGCATGCCAGTCTTAGCGAGGACTCCAAGCAGAAAGAGATGAACTGACGTTGTCCGCTTGGTTTAACATGTACTTGTCGACTGGATTGAAGCGATGTCCTGCGACTGTGTCTGAGTTGAAACTACAGCACAAGCGACTATTGAGGCAAGATGCGAGGCCCAAGAAGTGGGGGGGGGGATAGAAGTAAATTTCGTGCGGGACGGTAAGGATGAAAAAGCGCGAAAACTGGGATAAGAAGACGTGAA